GACAGACAGACAGACAGAATGACTGAACGACAGAAAGAATGATTGAACGACAGACAGACAAAACAACTCAATGACAGGAAGAATGACTGAATAACAGACTTAACGACTGAACGACAGACAGACAGAATGATTGAATGACAGACAGAATGACTGAACAATTGAACAACTGAACGACAGACAAAATGACTGAACGACAGACAGAACGTTTGAACGATTGAACAACTGAACGACAGACAATGACTGACAGACAGACAGACAGAATGACTGAACGAACGAATGACCAACAAACAGGTAGAACAGACAAACAAACAAACGAAAGAACAAACTAACGATAGACAGACAGAGAAAACGAACGAATGAACAAATGAACGACAGACAGACAGACAGACAGACAGACAAACAGAATGATTGAACGAACGAATGACCAACAAACAGGTAGAACAGACAAACAAACAAACGAAAGAACAAACTAACGATAGACAGACAGAGAGAACGAACGAATGAACAAATGAACGACAGACAGAACGAATGAATGAATGACAGATAGCTAGATAGACAGACAGAACGATTGAACAAACGAACAACCAACAGAAAGGCAAAGCGAACGAATGAACGAACGAACAAAAGAACGACAGAACGAACGAATGAATGACAGATAGACAGAACGACTGAACGAACGAATGACCAACAGACAGGTAGAACAGACAAACAAACAAACGAAAGAACAAACGAACGATAGACAGACAGAATGACAGAATGAACAATCGAACAAACAAACAAATGAAAGAACAAAAGAACAACAGACAGACAGAGCGAACGAATGAACGAACGAACAAAAGAACGACAGAACGAATGAATAACAGATATATAGATAGACAGACAGAACGATTGAACGAACGAACAAATGAACGAACAACAGACTAACAAACAAACGAAAGAACAAATGAACGATAGACAGACAGAATGACAGAATGAACGATAGAACAAACAAACAAATGAAAGAACAGAACAGATACAGAACAGAACGACAGAATGAAAGGCAGAATGAATGAATGAATGAATGAATGAATGAAGGAACAAATAATTGATAGAAAGACAGACACAGAACAAACGATCAAACAAACAAACAAATGAAAGAACAAATGAATGACAGACAGAATGAATGAACAAACGAACGAACGAACAAACAACAGAAAGACAGAATGAACAAACAACAGATGGATGGATGGATGGATGGATGGATAGACAGATAGATAGATAGATAGATAGATAGACTGATTGATGGATGGGTTGATAAATTCAGTGTGTTGAGTTCCCAGTGATTCTTGAGTTGTGAACTCTCTAATTGCTCTCTGTCCTCTGACTGCTCTGTTTCTCTTCCTCCACATGAATCATATTTAAGCTTCTATTTCTATTCTGGTGTTTTTTGTTTTGAAAATCCTTTTGTTGACTCTCTTCTCGTCTAAGAGCAGAAAGCCTGGACTCCGCCAGCGTTTATGAAGCTCGACACTCCGCCAGTGTTCTCTCGCTCTCGTAATCGTCTCTCTCAGGCACAGAGCGTCTCTGATTAATGACTCTCTCAAAGCAGCAAACTAGAGTGAAGCTCAAGCAGGTGCTGATCAAACCTCACGCCACGTGTTTGATCTGCACACAGCAACAAGTCGTGTTCAAAGGTGACATTCTCACGCCCAACGACGTCTTCAAAGTGCTCCATTAGAACAGACGATGCCGGTGCTCTGCGTCGAGTTGAAAGATAATGTAAATGTCAACTACATCTTCATCTATTATATGCTGAATGATGTGCGCTTTTAACTTTCATTGTGCTGGCAGACACACTAACCTCAGACACACTGAAGCCAGACGCATCGATTCTCTGCTTAAACCGTTTCCTCTTATCACCTCCTCTTGTAGCCTGTGGCTGCGTCTCAATCTGCACACTACTTCAGCAGTAAGCACACTACCCAGGGAATCAGACATTTGTGGGCCGGTTACATGAAGCTCTGAAACGTTTGCTTACTAGACATTCCCCTTTTCAGGGCATTGAATAATCATAATTGAATAAGTGTTTAGTAAACACGGTCCTTACTAGTAGTGATGGGAGAAACTAAACTTTGTAAAACTCTGAATCAACTGATTCAAAAAAGCACTTGAAAGGCCACACTCTGGTCAGAAGGCTTCAGTAAATGCAACAAAAACTCAGCCTAGACATGCATAAAAAGTGCAATTAATAAATCATCTTATATTATTAAATATGTGTTTTTTCTTCATTTGCAGAGTTTGTTTTGTTCGTCTATGGGGAGTTTGGTTAATCAGGCCAATAAGAGTCTATTAACTATAACTCTTTCTTTTTATTACACAAATGTGTCATTAAAATGTTTGCAAATTTATAAAACTGATCCGAGATCAGGTAAAGTCCATGCAGACACTGGTTCAAGGGTCAACAGTGATCATTTTTAAAAGTTTTGACGTAACATATATAGACAGACAGATATAGATAGATAGATATAGATAGATAGATAGATAGATAGACAGACAGACAGACAGAT